TCCTTAATGAGCAGTTTAAGGCATTTTTACAAGCCTTGCAAATACAGTAGCGCCGCAGAGGTACGCAAGGCATGACAGTCAGATTTGTTTTTTGATCTTGTCATGTGATTAAACGACGGAAAGGATTTGGATCTCATTCATGATCTATATTTGTGCAAAATCGTTCTTGTTTTTCGAAGGCAGTTTGTACACATGTGCAGCTTCTGTAGAATTTGCATACGCCGTGATATTCTCCGGACCCAAGCCAGGAACCCGGCATCAACTGACAATCGCCATCTCCAGGTTTGTTTTATGGCCAGGTAATTCCTTCTTACACATTTATTTCCACGTTTTTCGCTCCATCGCTCTTTACATGGCGATCAGTTTCTTCTCCTCAAGTTTATTTGCAGCCAACCTTCAGCGTCGTAGATCATGGTGGATGGAACGGTTGAATAGAATAGTTCTTTCTTTGCCCGCAAGAGCAGCTCATTGTCGAGTAACATTATACGGTTACAGTTAGGGCTGGTCTATGCTACCTTCCTTCTTCGGCTGATTTTATCGTTTTCCCAGTTCATGTGGTCCATCTGAGGTCTGGTGTATATTAATAACTGGTGATTCTTTCGAGTTCTTCGCTCTTCACGTAGCTAGCGCCCTCGCGACTATGCTCGTTTCGCATCCATTTTGTCTTGGAAAGGTTAACCTTCAATGCTATGATGAGAGATTCTTCTTGCAACTACTATTGAAGTTCGTCATGTCCTGTGCGAAAACCACGCAATCCTCCGCAATGCCATGTGCTTCCATATGGTTTTACACAATGCGTCCTATCGCTGGCTCGTCAGATTCTTCTAGTCGATCCTCAGAACTGAATATTCAAGGAAACGTCGTTCAGACAGATCTGCAATCGTTTAGGAATATTTCCTTCGGATGCATCATAAGCTTAAGTTCTGCAATCCTTGGCACAGAATTTGATATGCTTGCCCAAATTCCAGATAAGAATTATCAGGGACATGAAAGGATTTAAGTGCAGCACCTTTCAGTGACGTGTACGATGACGGCCATTATCGGTTTTGCTGTGTAATAAAATGAGGCACAGTAAGAGAAAGTGGTTGAAAAAAATGAAAGCAGTCAGAAGAAAAGGAACTGTTAAAGAAGGGAGATGAGTGAAGGAAAATGATCAGTTGCTATGCGTGGTACCACTGATTAATAGGCTGCGAAATCTGCCACTTTGTCGTCGCGCAGGTCAGCGTTTGAGAACAATGATGCTGGTAGGAGTAAACACTAGAAACAGCTCAGTTCACGTTTTTTTCATACAGAAAAAGCGTTGCTATTGACATTCAGTGATCTGTGAGCATGATGAGTTTAAGTACTACTTTTTCGTTTCCCTCGGTCTGCTGCAGTTGACCAAAATGTGTTTACTCTCCTTCCTCCAAGCACTGTTTGCTGTCGCGCATCAAAGCTTTCAAAATGCCGACAATTCGGCGCATACAGTGGTGAATGTTCAACGAATGTTCCGACTCATCACCTCACAAATGCACGTCATTAACTGGCACTGTCAAAACGTACAGGCGAAATACAGGTGCACATGAGCATAAGCATCTCTTTTGAGTCTAGCTCCCAGATGGTCGCAGTTGTGTTAATAACTATAGTTGTGATGTGGTTCATCTGTGTTAACGCGAGGCCTCAGTGAAACAGCGGTGCTTAGGGTGATGTATTTTTTTTCTCTGGACACTGACAGATGCGTTCGTCTGTTTTCCGCAGCTCTTTGACGTTATGCGTTGACTATTGCTTTCGTCTGAGCCGGGCACATCGAGGATTAATTTACTCGACAGTCTCAAAGAGTTCATTGATCTTTATGTCTTTAAGATTGTTCTGTCGAGGAGCAAAATGTTCTTTTCAAAAACCCATACTGAAGGATTGATGATCACCTTCCGCGTCGCTTCCATCATCATTATCATCATCTTCCATCGTCGCTTCTCCTTTCGGGTCGCGGAGGCAGATACGTAAGACAGAGCTTCCAACGTTCCCGATC